CACTGGGCCACCTCGCTGCCCCTGATACTTTAAGTTATGATCAGCTTTGGCAGAGGGAGTTTCTCCACTGGCAGTTTTGTACACCAGTGAAACCACTGGCCTGCCATTTAAAATGCCTTTAATTTACCGTAATTTGGTTTGCCTTTTTAGAATTTAAAGTGGCTTTGGTGGGGGTGATTTAGACGGTTCATATTTCTTTAAAAAAAAAATTGTCCAGGGAAGGCTGATCATGCCTTGTTTTTCTTTTGATAACAGTTTCCCTTTAGTAAGCAGAGACTTTCAAGATCATTACTTTTTTGTGTTCAAAGTAGGGCTTATTCTTTTCAGAATTCCCCATCAGCACTTAAAAGCTTCATGGAACACTTTACTTGGAAGGGCATGGGGAGAAGGAGTCTCTAGATTCTGGTCTTGCTCACTTTTGATTCTGCTCTTTCTGGTCTCCCCCACCCTCTCTTTAAAACAAAATGCTGAGGCCCTTGAAAAGGAAGAGAAATAGCAAAAATCACTTTTTTGAATTGCATTTGCTCCTCCTTTTTTCTCTCTCTAAACAGTAGGGGAATCTGTGTTGGGAATAATGTGAGGGATAGATTAATAAAAGAAAAAAGAAAAGACAAAGAAAAGAAAATGGAGAGTTTTTGGTGGAGGGAAGAATTAAGAGGTAGTGTTATAGTAATGCCCCAGAAATAAAGGAAAAGAGCATCAAGGAAATATTTAAACATACACAGAAGAGAACAGAAGGGAATTCAGAATGGGCCATGGACATGCAGAGGAGTTCTGTTATTATTTCATATATAAATCCTCTTCTCTGTTTTTTTTTATTTGTATTTTGAAGCATTCATGTTTGTTGATGTTTAAGCTTATAATAAAAAGATATTTTTATATAAGCAGAAGAATGCTAATATTTCTGGTTAATTTAGGGTCTCAAATTGGGTTCTTGAAATATCAAAAATCATACACCAAAAAAATTAGAAGAGAAGTAAATTATATGCATTTCACAACTATGCGTAGGAGATGAATTCCTACACTAACAAGAGAGGAAGGAAATTACAAATAATAAAATAGATTATTTTGATTACATGAAACTGAAATGCTTTTGCACAAACACAATTAATGCATCTAGGATAAGAAGGGAAGTAGTTTAAGGCAGAGGGGAATCATTTTATCAAATTTCTCAGGTAAGGGTATGTTATCCAAGATACATAGACAACAGAAATATATAAAACCAAAAGTCATTCCTCAATAGATAAGTGGTCAAAGGATATGAGCAAATAATTTTTGAAAGAAGAATAAGATAAAGATAACAATAAGGAAATATTATTAAGAAAAGTAATTAATAATGCTACTAATAAGAAAAATGCAAATTCAAACAATCCTGAGGTTTTACCTCCTGCTAGTAAATTGGCAAAGAAGCAAAAGACAAGAGTCATTTTTGGAGAGGTTATGGAAAGACAGGCATGTTATGCCTGTTGCTGGAGCTATGAACTAATTCAACCACTTTGGAATGCAATTTGGAATTATGCAAATAAAATGGCTAAAATTTCTATACCCCTGGACTCAAAGATTCTATAGACAGATATATACTCCAAGCAGATGAAAGTCCCATATATCCCAGATTTTTTAAAGCAGCACTTTTTGTGGTAGCAAAGACATGGAAACAAAAATACCTATTGATTGGGAATGGCTAAACGTATTATGGTGCATGAATGTAATAAGGTATTACTGTGCTGTAAGAAATAACAAGCATGATGGATTCTTAGGCACATGGAAAAACTTATAAGAACTGATAGAAAATGAAGTAAACAGAGGCAAAGAAAAAACCCTCTATACACAGTGAGTATGGTAGAAAGAAAAACAACCACAAAATACTGAAAATGAATGTTGCAAAATTACAAAAAATAAATTTGACCCCCAAGAAGAGATATGAGACGATAACCTCTCCTACTTCTTTGCAGAGGTGGGGTGGGGAGAAGGAGACATTCCACAGGTGTGGAACATTGCATATATTGTAAGGTTTTTTGGTATATTGATGGTTTCTTTTGTGAGATAGCTATCTGAGAGGGGGAAGAAGAGGGACACAGAGGGAAATTTACAAGACATAAAACAAAAGCTATTAATAAAAATTTATTTTAAAAAATCCAGTGAATGTAAATATTTCTGTTAAATTGAGGTTTTCAAATTGGGTTCTGGATAATTAAGGTCTTATTCTGGTTGTGATACCTGAAGGATCTGTGATTTTGTCAACCATGGAAAGTTCCATGTATGGAAACTCCATCCACCAAACCAGATCCAACCTATATATGACGTTAGTGGTAAATGGGTTTGAAAGTTATCGCTTGTTGTTCGTTCATTGTTTGACCTTCATTCTTGAAGAGGATCGTGATATCAGGAGGTAGTTGTGACTTGCAAGTGAATTGGATTTAAGTGAGGGAGGGCTATGTAAAGTCACCAGCCTCACTTTCTCCTCTAGAGCAATCTGGGTCCAGTGGTAAGATATAGGTCAGGATGAGTGGAGATGGCCCTGGATGCAGTAGGAGACTGTGGCCTTTTAAGCTAAGGTCTTCTCCAGGTTTCAGTTTGACTGAGGCAAAGCCCATTCAGTGATTAAGGCAAGGTAAGAAATGAGGCAAAAAATGGCCTCATTTACCTAGTCAAAAAAAAAAATGAAATCAGTCTGGGAGGGCAGACCCTCAGGGTTTCTACCCAAAATAGAAACAATTGCTATTTACATTCCCTCTGAGCCATCATAGCCCAAACAATGACCAAGTGAAATTTGGGCTGAGAGACCTATTATTGGCCAATCAATGACAGCCAGCATGATTTGGATTTAAGGTATGGTCCTTAAAAAAGAAATCTAGCACATAAATATATCTTGAGAGTTTTCAGGGATCAAAATTCATATTCCTTTGGGCAGAGCACCTGCAGGTAAAGATACAATTCCCTGTGGACAGAGAGAGAGGAGGGAGGGAAGGAGGGAAAGAAGGAAGGAAGGGGAGGCAGGGAGAGAGGGAGCTGCATTATTCAACTGGAATTGGTCAGTTGGGTCCCCAGTGGGGCAGCTACTACTACTCACAGATCATTGTTTGTTCTTCATTCTGGAAAAGGACATGACATCAGGAAGGTGATGTCATAACTTGCAAGTGAATTGGATTTAAGTGAGGGAGGGTTAGGCAAAGTCACCAACCTTACTCTCTCCTCTGGAGCCATCTGGGTCCAGTAGCAAGATACAGATCAGCAGAAAGTTGCCTGAGGTACACAGACACTAAGTGCTCCTCTAGTGTCACACAGTGCACTGTGTGTGAGTGTTTATTGTGAACATTCACTGAAGAAGAGAATGGTTGAAAGAGATTTGTATGGCTTGCCTATGAATTTCTTATTGCTCTTAAATCTTATTCAAGTGTATTTAACTCTCTACTCCCAATTAGACTATCATCTTCACCTCTTACCTTTGTAAAACACAGGGCATGACAGGGCAAAACTCACATACATAATTTCATTTGATCCTTACACCTGTACAAGGGAGGCAGGGCAGGTATGCCACAGTATGGTGGAATGAAAGATTGGAGGAAGTAAGTTAGAGTCCTGAGTCTGTGATATTTACAGGCAGTTCTCATTTTATGTAAGTGGACAAGTCAGCAGACCTCTATGTACAGCAATTTCTTTTTTAGTAATGTGAACTTATCCACTGGCCAACACACATTCAAAAATACACGGGGGCCTGGGAACTGAAAAGCAAGAGCAGGAGAAGAAACACAGTGCATTTTGTATTTATATTTAATTGTGTGACCTTGGAAGAGTGACTTAGATGTTCTGGACCCCAGTTCCTCATCTGTAAAATGAGATTCAACAAGATAATCTCTCAGGTGATTTCAGCTTCAAATCCTATGATCCCCTTTGACCAAGTCTTCCCCTCCGAGGTTACCTTCTGTTTGCTCTGTTTGTATCTTGTATTTAACTAGTTATTTACATATTGTATCTTCCATTGGAATATAAGTTCCTTGAAGGCAGGAACTTTTTTTTTTAACCTTTTAACCCCAGTGTTTAGCACATTGATCGGTCCTCTTTAAGAATGAAGGACAGACAACAATAATTAGTAAGCTGAACAAAAGCTTGTTGACTAACAGATGAAAACCCAGATGCAATGAACTAACTTTTTTGTGGAACCTTGTGGAACAAGGTTCTACAGCTAGTAAACAGTATAAGCCAGACTAATCAAGCCTGGAATCAGTTCTTCTCTTTGTGTGTAACACTTAACTGCAATCTGTCCTTCCACCTCTGCATATACATACCCCATCATTCCCCACATTGTCTTCCATCAAACAGAGAATTCAGGGCAGAATTTTGCACACACTGGGTTCTTGGCCAATGGTATTAGGCTGGCTTCATAAAAGAGGAGAATATTTTTGAAAAACCAAATGCAGGCTCTATTGGGTTTTGTTGCAAAGGGGGAGGGAAATAGGGCTGGGGCTGATATTGATGGCATCATAGATCTAGAGCTAAAAGAAACCATAGAAACTATCTATCTCTCTTTTACAGATGAGGAAACTGAGTGACTTGCCCAAGGTCACACAAGACATAAACTTCAGAGGGAAGATTTGAACCCAGTTTTTCTGATTCCAGAGGCGTTGCATCAGCAGCAGTAGCTACCATTGCTTCCACTTAGGGCATTGCTTTTCTCTTTCCAAGAGTGAGTGGCAGGTCAGACCACTGCTCACTCACCACTAACTGATAATGGGTCCTTATCTCCCTCAAAATAGGTAGCTAGGAGGCACAGTGGATAGAGCAGTGGCCTGGAATCAGGAAGACCTGAGCTTAAATCCAGCTTCAAACACTTACTAGCCATGGGCCTGGCTCTGAGACTTTAACTCCGTCTGCCTCAGTTACCTCAACTGTGAAATGGTGATAATAATAGCAGGATCAAATGTGATTATTTGTAAAGTGCTTGGAACACGGTAGCTTAATAAATGTTTGTTTCCTTCCTTCCTTCATCAAACCCTCTCCAGGTACGAATATGGGAGATCCCCGAGGGCGGCTTGAAGCGGAACATGACGGAGGCAATCCTAGAACTTTATGGACACAGCCGGAGGGTGGGGCTTGTGGAGTGGCATCCAACCACCAACAACATCCTGTTCAGTGCCGGCTATGATTACAAGGTGAGCACGGCCCCTGCTGGGGCAGGCCTTCTCAGGATTGGGGGGGGGGGGAAGTCTCTTATTATATCTGTATAGTAATTAAACCTTTAAAAGCCTGCGTTGTACATTTTATCAGGTAATTCTCACAACTCTCTTGTGAAGTAGACAGGACGGCTGTTATTTATCCCCATTTTCTAGCTGAGGAAACTGAGTCCCAGAGAGGTGTAATAACTTTCAAAGGTCTCACAGTTAGCTAATAGAATCAGGACTATGATCTAGGTCTGCTGCCTTAGGTGCCCATGAGGAGTTAAATTTTCCTCACTGGAACCAAATCTAACAGAGTCCTTGGGGCAAGTGGAAACCCCGAGTGTGCCCAACCTAGGTTTTGCTAGTTTGTTTTTTTCTCCATCCCCAGCCCTGGCACCATTTCTTTCCCTGTTAAAAGAGTAGGAAGAACTCTTTGGATAAGCAAGCCTGAATGGAGAATATGGTACCTGTGAGCCAATCATCAGCTGAAGCCTGATAAAGTCAGTCAGTCAGTCAATAAGCATTTTTTACTATGTGCCAGGCATTGTGCTAAGCACTTGGAGGTACCAAAAAAAAAGGCAAAAAGAGTCTCCCTGCTCCCAAGAAGCTCACAGTCTAATGGGGAAGACAACAAACAGGTACAAACAAATTATATACAGGATAAATAGGTGGAAAAAAAATCAAAAAGGGAAGGCACTAGAATTAAAGGGGATTGAGAAAGCCTTCCTGTAGGAGGTGAGATTTTAGTTGGGACTTTGAAGATGAGGAGAGGGATAGCATTCCAGGCCTGGGAGACAGCCAGAGAAAATACTGGGAGCCCAGAGATGCAGTGTCTTGTTTGTGGAATAGCCAGGAGGATAGTGTCACTGGATCAAAATGTACATGTTGGAGAGAGTAAGGTGTAAGACTGGAAAGATAGGAGGGGGCTAGGTCATGAAGGGCTTTGAATGTCAAAGAGAGCATTTTGTATTTGATTCTGGAGGCAACAGGAAGCCACTGGAGTTTATTGATTATGGGGCCTACGCCCTTGAGGATGGAGAGGAGGGAAGAAATTAGCTCTCTTTGTGGTGGCAAAGAACTAGAAATTTCTCTGATGCCTATCAATTGAGGAATGGCTAAACAAATTGTGGTATATGATTGTGATGGAATACTACTGTGCTATAAGAAATGATGAGCTTGATGATCTTAGAAAGACACAGATAAATTTGTGTGAAATAATGAAGAGTGAAATGAGCAGAGCCAAGGAAATATTGTATGCAGTAATAGTGATATCACAGCTTAGAGCAACTGAGTCATTTTGACTATTATAAATATCCAAATTAACTACAAAGGACCTATGAAGGAAGATGTTATCTGAATCCAGAGAAAGAATTGACAAATAGAAGTATATATAGAATGATTTTACATATATATTTACATATACAGATACATACATATTTGTGTCTAATGGTATGCATCTCTAGGTTGGGGACAGGCACAGAAGAAAGAAAAGGAAAAAGAAGAGTTACACAATAACTTTGTTATATATTTAAAAGAATTAGCAAATTGTACGTAACAGATTTGCAGTTTCATGTAGTTACAGTATAGTATAGTATATTATATAGTTGTAACATAGCATAGTATAACATACTGTTCTAGTATGTTATAGAAATGTTTGTTTTATTTCTTAAGTTCAGAATAAATAAATACAATTTTTATAAAGAGATTAAAAAGGATAGTTTAGCTAATACATCATATGATAATGTGGTCCCAAAAAGATCTAGATCGCAGTCTAAAGTAATGATCCGAATCTAATAAGGTAAAATTTGTAGTATGGATAAATGGAAAGCTGTACATGAGTTTAAAAAATATTGATTTCATAAGTACAAGATAAGGGAGGCATGGTTAGAAAGCAGTTATTCTGAAAAAGATCTGGATTGACCTCCTGGGTCCCTTAGCCTTCTAAGGTTCTTCCATTCAGTGCCCAAATGTATGCAGCCTAGCCGTGCAATTCTGTCCCAGGTTCTGCAATCTCAGGCTGTTTAGTTGACCAAAGTAGAGCTATTATCTAGGGCAGGGGTTCTTAACCTATTTTGTGTCATGGACCCCTTCGGTAGTGAATCCTATGAATAATGTTTTTAAAGGCATGAAATAAAATACATAGGATTACAGCAAAGTGGCACAGTAGATAGAGTGCTGGGCCAGGAGTCAGAAGGACCTGAGTTCAAATCTAGCCTTAGACACTTACTAGCTGTGTGACCCTGAGCTAAGTGTTAAGTGACTTTGCTCAGGGTCACACAGCTGGTATGTCATTTAACCTTTGTTTGCTTTAGTTTTCTCAACAGTAAAATGGGGGATAATAATAGTACCTTCTTCCCAAGGTAGTTGTGAGGATCAAATGAAATGACATTTGTAAAATGCTTAGCATAATGCCTGGCACATAATAGACACTTAATGACTGCTTATTTGGGCAGTTAGGTGGCATAGTGGATAGACCACTGGGCTTGGAATCAGGAAGACTCATCTTCCTGGATTTAAATTTGGCCTCAGACACTTACTAGCTGTGTGACCCTGGGCAAATCACTTCACCCTGTTTGCCTCAGTTTCTTCATCTGTAAAGTGAGCTGGAGAAGAAATGGCAAACCACTCCAGTATCTTTGCCAACAAAACCCCAAAATGGGGTCATGTAGAGTCAGACATGACTAAAATGACCAAACAACAAAATAAATGTTTGATTCCTTCCTTCCTTCCTTCCTTCCTTCTTTCCTTTCTTCCTTGCTTCCTTTCCTTCCTTCCTTTTTTCCTTCCTTCCTTCCTCCCTCCCTTCCTTCTTCCCTCCTTATCTATAAAGAAGCCAATTACATTGAAATAAAGATGTAAATTTTTTTCAACTTCATGGACCCCTCTGAAATCTATCCATGAACTCAGGAGGACTGTGGACCCCTGATTAAGAACTTGTGATCTAGGTAATATAATAGAAAGAGAAGTAATATAAGAATTAGGAGATCTGGTTTCTACTCTTATTTTCATCACTAACTTTTTTTATGACCTTAATTATAGGCTATTAACCTGTCTAGGCCTCAGTTTCCCCACCTGCAAAATAGGGATAATAACACCTTCTCTACCTATCTTACAAGAGGGTCTGAGAATTAAATAATGGATGGGAAGGCCCTTTGGAAAGTATAAAAAGCAATGGATGTTATTTATATATACATATGTGTTTGTGTATTATTACATGTGTCACAAGGTATCATTATTATTTTATTATTACTATAATTACAATGATTATTGCTGTTTGGTTCCTGAAAATCAGCAGGATTGGGGGCCTACCTCCCATGTCTGTCTGTCTGTCTTACCTGTCACTCCCTGCAGGTTCTCATCTGGAACCTGGATATCGGGGAGCCAGTGAAAATGATCGACTGCCACACAGATGTGATCCTATGCATGTCCTTCAATACAGATGGCAGCCTGCTCTCCACCACTTGCAAGGACAAAAAGCTGAGGGTGATCGAGCCCCGTTCTGGCCGAGTGCTCCAGGTACTGAGCTCTACCTAACTCAAAATGATCTCTGTGACTTCTGGATGGTGTGGGGCGGGAAGGAGGGAGAGAAAGGTGAATTCTGACTGGTCTTTCCCTACTCTCCTTCCCCCTACCCTTCCATTGACTTAACACTCTTGTCCTCTAGGTGGCTGGGGCAGATCTAACTGATGGGATCTCCTCCAAGTCATTCTGGGTTAGCATATGTCTAATTGGTCAGTAGTTCCAGGTGTGGGATGTAGGCACTAGTGTGCCTCTAGTTCGGTCACACACACACACACACACACACACACACACACACACACACACACCCCTTCACTCCTTCATCACCCTAAACAGAATTTCTCTGGCCTAATTCTTGGGGCTTAGTATAGACACTGCCTTCAGAGGCCAGCTTCCTTCCTCACAGGCTGCAGTATTTTTGGCAGACTTTATCCACTCAATCAGGAAATATCTGTGGAGAACCTACTAGCTGGTTAGGCTCGACACAAGAACCTTCTCATGCTCTATAGGCAGTATCTGGGGTGGCCAGGGTCATCCCCAAGGATGTGGGCTGGGGCAGATGCCCCTTAGCCTCTTCCCACCACCTCTAAAAATAAAGGAGAGGGAGATGTATATGTTTAATCCCTAAGTCCTAATGTGTTACTCTATCATGACATTGAGATAATCTTGTGTTCTCAGAGGGATGCAGAGGAATGCAAACCCCTAGTCAGTCCTACCATTTTCGAAAGGCCCTCAACTGGCCAACCATGTTGTTCTTATAGAGGCTTATCATTGGGCTGATCCTAGAGTGATAGATACTTGGACCAAAACAACTTAGTCTACCAGTCAACCAGCAATTATTTAGTACCTACGATGTGCCAGGTCAGCCTTAGAAGGGTTGTATTTTTTCTTGGTGGAGGGCACAACCACACTGAGGTAACCACAGATCTTAGAAATATTTAAGTATCAATAGGATAAAACAAATATCACAAAGGGAAAAGCAGTCGGGAAGGGCTTTCTGAGGCTCAGTTTCCTCATCTGTAAAATGAGGGGTTCAGTAGAAAGAGCCCAGATTGGAGCAAGAGGACCTGGCATTGAAGCTTAGCTTTGGCATTAACTTCCTGTGTGACCCTGGGCAAGTCATTTAATTTCTCTAGGCCTCAGTTTCCTCATCTGTAAATGGGTTTGATTAGACAGCCTCTGAGGTCCCTGACAGCTGTAAAGTTACTATCTTATGATCTTAGGAAACATGGAGCTCCAAAGAGGAGTAGAGATGGGATGGGAAGGGTAGGATCTATCCTACCCACTTTGCATGGTTACTTGGTTGGAGGAGAGCACGATGGGCTAATTACACGATGACACTGCCTCCTCCTCCTTCACCCACCCACCCAGCCTGCTGCTACAGCCACTAGCACAGTAGGGGTGGAGGTCCAATGGCTCTTAGTGGGTAACTCAGCCTGCCTTAGGCTTTCTCTTCATCTCCCTGCTCCTCCCCTCCCCTTCAGGAAGCCAGCTGTAAGAACCACAGAGTAAACCGGGTGGTATTCCTTGGCAACATGAAGCGACTCCTCACAACAGGCGTTTCCAGGTGGAACACCAGGCAAATTGCCCTCTGGGACCAGGTCAGTGGGTATCCTTTGGGCCTCTGGGTTCTTCCTCCTATTTCTCTACCTTGTCTGGACAGAGGAACAGAGGAATGGAGTACATGGCTCAGAATCGGGACTTCTGGGTTCTGGGTGCTTTTGAGTTTCTGATGAAGTGTTGGACAGTCTGGAATAAACTGGGCCTCAGTTATCACTTCTGTGAAATGGGTACCACATGGTATGGGAAGTCCAAGGAATGATCAGATCTCAAAGGATCAATAATCCAATGCTGGCTGAATAATTCAATTCTCAAATTATGTACAGTAGCCCAATGAGGAAAGAGGTGTGGATAATATGAAATGGTAAATAATAAAAAAAAGTGGCTTGATTTTATAATGCAATTATAGACCCACACCCAGACCTTCCTACTGATGACCTCTTTACTTGGCCCAAACTGGGGCCTACTTATACAGTGGAGACAGGAGATTGAATAATCCAAGGTGATAGGATGTAGCTAGCCCAGAAACTCCCTTGGGGATAGCAAATGGAAGTGAGCACATCTCTATTTTATCCAGAGCTTACATGCTTACTCCAAAACATGGTCCTCTTATCTCTTCACAGAAACAAGAATCCCTCTTCAAGGTTTAAAGTCATGTAGTGATATCTCTAACTTGTTCTGATGGTTGACCTCATGAAGGCTTGAAGGATCTGGGGAAGCTTGCATCCTCTGTCCCTCATTTCCTGGAGGGTCAGTAGGGATCAACCAGTCTGAGCCTTGGTTTCAAGTCTGACAGCTTGCCCAGGATGGACCCGAGATGGATAAGAGAAGGATAAGATGGATAAGATGGATAAGAGATAGTGTGGTATAGAGGAAAGAAAGGGTGGGATTGAGTAGATCAGGATCTGCCACTAACTCACCTTGAGACCTTCAGCAGGACAATTCACCTCTCTGGGCCTCAGTTTCCTCATCTGTCAAATGAGGAAGTTGGACAAGATGATTGCTATAGTACTTTTCAGTACTAAATTCTTTGATTCTGTCATACAGGAAGGGAAGGGATAGGGAACAAAAAAGGAGAAAAAGGAAATGGAAGAAGAGTAAGGAACAGGAAAATTTAACAGATTTAGGCAAAAGGAAATGTTGGAGATGATTTGCAATGCAGTGTTGGCCCATTTACCAAGCATCTACGAGAAATCAGCCAGTAGACCTAGGGAAAATCAGACTGGAAAGAACCTTGAGTAATATCCTGGTGTAATCTTCTGCTTTCGGACAGGTAAAGTCCTATTTCCATTTTACAGTGAAAAGCTCATCAGCATGTTGACCATGGGCGATGAACTTGGAGGCCACAGCTCCTCTCAAAGACCATCTACTGGGTCATAGATGGGTTTAGATTTTTATTGGAAGGAGTGTCCATACCAATGAAATCAGAGATCCTTGAAGTGTTATTGTAAGCACAGAAAAGGCAGCTGAGGCTCTGAGTGGCTAAATTACATCCCCAGGGTCATAGAGCTCATTAATGATTTCATAGAGTACAGTAGAATATTTAAGAGCACAGAGACCTTACAGGTCATCTAGCCCATGCCTCTCATTAGAAGGACAGAGGACATCTTTCTCTCAGTGCAGTATTTTTCACTACACTTTTCATGCTCTTGAAGACACCCTGCACATTTCTGTCTGCTCACATGTAGCACTGCCACCCACAAACACCCTCTTATCATTGGGTCCTGGAGGCAAGTAGAGCAGGCTCTGAGTGTGCTATGGATTTCTCAGAGACTTGTTGAGATCTAGGAAGCAGGAAAACTTGGTGAGGATGACAGAGGCTGAGGACAGGGTGGTTTAGGGTGACTCAGAAGAACACAATGGAATCTAGTGTAGTAGAAAGAGGGCCAGTACAGGTGCCAAGAGACCTGAATTCTAGGGCTTGCTATGCCATTAACTGGAATATTGTAGCATTTTAAGGTGTACAAAGTGCTCTACATACATTTTCTCATTTGAGCCTCATGATAACTCTGGAATGATTTTGTCCTCATTTTATAGATGAGGGTCAGTAAGTGTAAGTTAGACAGCTAGTAAGTGTCCAAGGGAGTATTTGAGGCCTGGTCTCTCTCAACTGCAAGCTCAGCACTTCTTCTTTAAACACTGCTCACTAATTAGCTGTATGACCTTGGGCCATTCACCCAAAGTCATATGGGTTTCGGTTGCCCCATAAGCCAAATGAGGGAATCAGATTAGATGATGGCATTCTATGATGTGAGCAAGGTAAGAGTCAATTCAAGTGTAGATTTGTATAGGACAGTTTGCTCTCTGTACCCTAGCACAGGAAAGGTGGGCAACAGCATTGGATTCTATAGCATTTCAAGTTTGCCATATCCTCTAGGAAGCCTTTCTTCCCTGATTGACCTATAGTTAATGACCTTCCTCCTTGGACCTCCCATAGCATTTTGTTTTGAACCTTTCTAATGGACTTTTTATATAATATTGTGTGTTAGTTACTTCTGTTTGTCTCTTTTCTCCCTCCTGAACTGTAAGCTCTTTGAAGGCAGGGGATATGCCTTATCCAAATTCTGTATTTTCCTTAATACCTAACTTGATATGATATGTTGATATGATATTGCATGCAGAAATGTTTGTCAGATAGATGGATGGATGGGTGAATAGATATATGGATTTATGGACAGATGCATAGATATCTAGGGCACCAGCTAATGCTGCCTCCTTCTATACAGGAGGACCTAGCCATGCCTCTCATCGAAGAAGAGATTGATGGCCTTTCTGGACTCCTGTTTCCCTTCTATGATGCTGACACACACATGCTGTATTTGGCAGGAAAGGTAATATCTGTTGAGAGCCACAATAGGTGAGGTACACTTAATCTTCTGAGGGGACTGAAGGCCACATTGCCTGCTTCTAAGCAGGTACTTCCTCATGAGTGCAAGCCCTCCCCCACAGTGAATTTTGTCTTCAGTATTTTACCCATCTCCTTTTAAAGTGTTGACCCCTAACTTCTCCCACCCCCACCTTTGTTCTTTGATAAACTCATTCATATTAAGTTATTCCTCAAGGGAAAGGACATTATTTGAAAGAGGACTTGCCTGGAAGGGCAATGTTTAACTCAAAGGAATTTTCTAGAAGGAGAAGAATTCAGATGGCAGAGAAAGACTTAGGAAGTATTTTTAGTCTAGGTAGCTCCTCAGTCACAACCTCAATGGCATCCTCACCTGGAGAGGGCAATAGTTACCCCAAAGGAAGTAGCATTTCAAGAAGTAGGATTTCAGGCACTGTGATAAACTAGTAAACAGGAGAGACTTAGGAGCAAAGGGGCCTTCCCAGGGCTTTCAAGCCACACCTTTTAGGTGAACTCCCATTATGCCTATATATAAAATCTCCAAATGGTTCTGTCTAAGCTGCAGCCCCCAATCTGAGTTCTAGGTGCTGAAAAAGGGAGAATATTTGCTTTCCCCTACACCTTGAAGTGTCCTGAGCTCACTCAAAGTTATAAATAGATCAATTCACCTGGCTCCTTCTCTTCCTCCAAAGGACTAGAACCAGGAGTGGGCTGGTACCAGCTCAAACCAGTTCTGAAGAAATGATTGTTAAATTTTAAATGTGAGTATTTATAATCCAGAGGTTCCAAAAGTGGACAATACTGCTCCTGGAGGGCACTGGAATGATCCAGGGGGCAGTCGTAGCTTCAGGTGCAATTGTGGGGGGAAGGATTTAAGTAAAAATAAGGGAGCGGTGGAAGCATAAGGAAAGAAGAGAAGAAAATTTTGAAAAAACATTCATACATGTTTCATCTGTTGTGTATGAAAGATAAAGTCATAGTGATTACATTATTTTCCAAACAAACACACAAAATGCAAATTATAACTAATCAATGGTCAAGTCTGCTGACAGGTCTTAACAAGCAAGTGTTGACAGGCAAGCAAGTTGCACAATATTGGAAAGTCCAGCATGCATCAGCAGGAATATGTGTGTGTAATGACTTGTTTATAATACAATATTATATGGTTACATGAAGCAATGTTGCATCATCAAAATTTCAATGCAGGAAAAAACCCACAAATTCACAATAAATTGTGAAATTTAAGATGTGTCATTTTAAAAGAAATATAATATATTTTTTGAAATGATGCAAATTTAAAAAATGTTAAAAGGTTAAAGAAAGTAGGTTCCAGGAGGGTGCTGAGTACTTTTTTTTTTAAAAGGGAAGGCAGTCCAAATAAATTTGGGAACCTCTGATTTATACCTTGGAAATTGGCAAATAAAAACCAAGTAAACAAACAAAAAAAGAGGGCCTGATTTATTCTTTTGCTGGTAGTCTATACTTAAGAAAGGGATAGAAAAAAATAATGCAGATTAAACTTATAGTATGTTGTGTGTAATTTTTTTTTCTGGGATCCAGTTGTTAAATATTTACCAGCATACCACTTCCTAGAACCCAGGAAGAAACAAATCCTGGGAGAAGATAGGTGATGAACATAGGCATAAATTTAATTCCAGCTGCGTTTTCATGGTAGGACTGTGAGACAGGAAAGGTTGGGGCCCTTTCTCTTCACTGTCATTTACAAAGGATTAAGGGAGACTTTGGGTCTTTAGGGCTGGGAGGCAGGGCAAGACATACTAACTTCCTGGCCTTGGTACTCAGAGAGTGGGAGACATTCTGATTGGTGGTTCTCTGTTAGTATACCTGGGGTTCGTCTTCAGCAAACCAAAGGGGAGTGGGTTCCTTCTTTGAGAGATAAAGGAGAAGGATGTAGGATTTGAAGCCATGTGCTCTGACTCCAGATGTCAGAAGGGCATGGCTTCATTTAGGTTCTTTCAATTCAAGGTCCTATGCTGGGTACTGAGGGAGAATAGTACATGATCCCTGCCTTCAGAGACTTTCCAGTCTAGCTGGAGAAATGACACCTAAAAAGGCAAATAATGCATGATTCAAGTAAAAACAATTATAGAATTATTCCAAAGTATTGCGTGGCCAGTTTCCAAGTGAGTGGTACAGAACTGTTCAAACCATTCGGCCTGGGGAGGAGGGCACACCCCCTCTTATCATCCCCTGGGTGATCTCTAGATTTGCAGAGCTCAGCAACGACTGAGGGCAGAGGATCAGAGACAGGATTTCTCTGGCTGGGCTACCTTGGAGCAGAGGATATTCAGGATGTCCTGAGCCCCACTGTCTCTTCCCCCACCCCTGTCCTAAAGGAGGTCATCAAATTATTAGCAATTTGGAGGTACCTTCATCTGAGCAGGTTTTTCCTATTCTTGGGGAATTAGAGCATCTACACACTCAGGTATTCCCATCACTTGTTTTTCCCCACAAAAAGCCAATGGGAAGAATTCCTGCATTCCCCAGGAACATGCCCCTTCATCTTTGAAGGATGGGGCCAACTCTTGGAAAATTATTTGTTTTTAAGAGTCTCTGACATCTCAATTCTTCTCCCTTTCCCTCTTCACTGTGCTCTAGAACCCTCACCCCCAGCACCATCTCCACATTTTCTCCCCTATTCCTCAGCCAAATCCTAATCTCAGAAAAGGATTTAAAACTCCCTCTCACTGAGGTACAACTCACTAATGACAGTTGGAGGATTACTCTTTCCATAGGATCATAAAGTTGGAATTGAAAAAGACCTCAGAGGCCATTTATTCCAGCCCTGTCGTTGTACTTATAAACTGGGGCCCAGAGAGTGGATCCAATGACTTAACCCAAGGTCATGCAGGTAGCAAGTAGGAGAATTAAGATTCCAACCCAGGGGCTCTGATTCCAAGTCCAGCATTTTCTCAACTCATGCTTCCTGGGGATGGATTGGGGGTGCTTGTACTTTTAGCAGGGAGCAAAGTTTTAAGCTGAAAGGATAAAGTCCTAAGAATTGATTCAGAGTCTTGGGGGTGTAGTATATTCTAAGTCTCACTAGGACTTCCAAGTGCCTCAGAAGTCACTTAAATATATTCACCTATATCTGGGCCTACCCCGGGGGGTGGGAGGTGAAGAGTGGGGAGCAGGGAGAGGGGAGGGAGGATCCAGTTCTAGCTATTAGCAAAGCAGCAGATGTCTTCGGGTTCCCCAAATTCAATTTGTTCTTTAAATTCCCTGCAGCCAGTGGTCTAGAATGACCTAAAGTCCTCCCCTGCCTCACCCCACACTTTTCATTCCGGCATCTTCAGCCTGTTTAGGGGGAAATGGGAATTTCAAACCTTCCTCTAACCCGTCTGATGTGAACATGGAACCTGTTCTCCTTCTTCCTCCCCCTCTCCACTCCTCATTCTTGTTCTTGCCTTGCAGGGGGACGGGAACATCAGATACTACGAGATTGGGTCAGAGAAGCCATATCTGAGTTACCTCATGGAGTTTCGCTCCCCAGCCCCACAGAAAGGTCTGGGTAAGGGCTTCCAGAGTGGATCCCACCCCCTTCTCAAGATCACACAAAATAAAGAGCCAAAGAAGGAACCAGTCCAGGGGCACCTCACTAGGCAACTCTCATTGTATATTCAGAGACTTGGGGACTGGACCTGTGATTTCATTGGGATAGGGGACTTCCAGGGGAGGAAACCACTTCTACCAATGTAGGCTGGCACCTTCATCTCCACAACTTACCATTTTAAAGAGCTGCCGAGAATACTCAAGAGGTTTGAGATTTTTGTCCAGGGCCACATAACTAGCATTTATCGGAGATGAGACTTAAACCTAGTCCTTTCTAGCCCCTGGGCTAGCTCTTTGTATAGGAGAAGGTGCTAGGGAGAGAGGGAAGTTGGGAAATCCTTCCAAAGTCTTTATTTAAGCAAATTAATCAAAACAATACACACCATGTAGCACTTTGTATTATAGGATTTAGAACTGGAAAGGATTCTTTAGTTTTACTCCCTAATTTTACAGGGGAGGAAATAGAAGGTGAATTGACCTGTCCAAAGTCATAACAAGTCACAAGTCACAGAGATGAGATTCAAACCCAGGGCCTCAGAGGCCAACTCTAGTGTTCTTCTCACTGCGGCTCATTAGGGGAATGCATTGACACATAAAGTGAGCTCACCTAAGGCTCGTCTCACTCTGGCCTGGGCTGGTTTATTATTTCACTTAAGTTCCCACTATTGAGCCTTCTGTATCAAGAACATATTTATAGGACCAATGGACTCTTCCCTGGGAGTTGGTTTGCCTTTCACTGGTTAGTGTTGGAGTCCCATGAATTTTGCTAGGGAATTAAAAAAAAAAAACTTTTGTTGGGTAGCCTAAACATATGGACAGTATCCAGGGCCCTCTCTTTGTATATGTCTCCTCTCTTGTTCCCTACCTCCTCTGCTTCTCTTTTCTCTGTCTCCCTCCTCTCTTTTACAAGTATTCCTCTTCTCTCTTTCTCACTCCCCACAGTCCTATATACACAAACACACACACACACACACACACACACATACACACACATGACAACAACAACAGCTAGCTAGCATTTATATAGAGCTTAATATGTGCTAGAAGACACTGTGTTAAACACTTTACAAATATGTCATTTGATCCTCAAAACACTCCTGGCAGGTAGGTGCTATTATGATTCCCATTTTACAGTTGAGAAAACTGAGGCCAATAGAGGGTAAGTGATTTGCCCAAGGTCACAAAGCTAGTATTTGAGGCTGGATTTGAACTCAGGTCTTCCTAACTCCAGGTCCAGTGCTCTCTGTGCTGAGCCATCAGAGAGCAATGGGAAAGATTCGTGGACTTGTGTTAAGAGTAAAAGGACCTCTACAATGTGACTTTTTCACTTCTTTTTTCTGTCCACAGAGCCTGGGGGATAGCCCTCCAAGTCTGCAGATCTTTGGAGAAGTTCATTCATTCGTTCATTCATTCATTCATTCATATATCCAAACATCCATCCTTCCATTCATAAAACATTAATTAAGTGCTTTCTATGTGCAGGGCACAGGAGAAAATAAAGGTTTAAGTAAGACATTGTCCTGACTCTTAAGAAGCTTACAATCTAGTAAAGAGTTTACTTTGAGAAGGTGAGAGCCACTACAGCTTTGCTACTAACTGGCTGTGTGACTGGAGTTAAGTTCATTAGCCTCTCTGCACCTCAGTTTCCTCATCTGTTAAACTAGGGGTTTGGACTAAATAATCTCTAAAGGTCCTCACAGCACTAAAATTCTATGACTCCAATCAGATCAGCTTGGAGAGGCGGATATTGGAAGAATTTTTGGTGGCTTCTGACTTAGAAATGGGCCCTCATCATGTGATAGCCTAGCCTGATAAGCATCTAAATACTCCTTCCTGCATCTCTGCAGACCCAGGGTCAGCATCTCAAGGACTTAAAACATCTCCCCTTCACTTTCACCTCTCCCTTTTCCCAGACCCAGGAGGTGGGGAGGGAGATGTGGCTGCCTAGAATACCATTGGACATGAATGCTTATGCTCCCCTTCCACAGGGGTGATGCCTAAGCATGGCCTGGATGTGTCGGCTTGTGAAGTGTTCCGGTTCTACAAGCTAGTGACCTTGAAGGGCTTGATTGAGCCCATCTCCATGATCGTGCCTAGGAGGGTGAGTACAGCTTTCACGGGGAAGAGAGGCCACCCAGACACTTCCAATACCTCAGGCACAGAGGTATTATCATCTGCCAGTCAACAAGTCACAACTTGAGGACCTACTATGTTAAATAAGTGTTAAATATGTTAAACAGCCCTTTGTTAAATACTATGCTGACACTGAAGAAAGAAAATATACAATCTCTGAGTTGAAAGGGCTTGCAATCAAGGGAGTGGGTGAGGAGGGGCCTGACAGGTACACGTGAACTCTCCCAGACTTAGGGAATAGCTTTCCCAACATCCAGCAGCTCTCTGCATTACGGGAATTTATTGGTGAAACAAGAAGTCTTTATTGAGTACCTACCTACTATATGCTCATATCTGCTACCTCTGTGGGGGATACTGAACAAGTGTAAGCCATGCTTCCTGCCCTCAAGAAATTTCCAGTCTAGCTAGGGAGGCAGAACTAAAAAAACCAAATCAAACCAAACAAAACCAAACAAAAACCCTTCAACATCTCTCCACTGTCTATAAGATAAAATACCAATTCTTTAGCCTGATTTTTAAGGCATTCCACATGATGGTTCTGACCCAAGAATTAAGCAGCCTTATTTTTCATTCTATTTTATTTTTTTACATTTTATTATTCTCCTTGCCTTTGTTCTAGCCAAACAGAGTTCTGAATTATTTGCTGCCCTCAACGCTGTCTTCTGCTCCTATGTATTTGCATCAGCAGCTCTGTCCCTCTAAAAAAAAATTCCTACATATACTCTCTCCATATTCCTACCTCTTAGAATCCTTGTCTTCTCAAGGTGAAGTGTCCGCTCCTTCAGGAAGCCTTCCCTTATCCCTTCAGTTATCAGTACTTTCTCTCTCAATTTTTCTTGCCCTATGTTTGTGTAGAGGGTTGTATTCTGCCCAACCCCCTCTTACCCAAGTAGAATGTAAGCTCCTTGAGGGCAGGGACTGTTGGCTGAATCTTTGTGTCACTGGTACCTAGCAGGCAATTAAGGAATATTTCTCAAATTGAATTGAATTGGGAGCAGAATCTAATGGAATGCAATACTGAAAGGCATAAGCAAAAAAGAAAGAAAGAAAGAAAGAGAGAGAGAGAGAGAGAAAGAAAAAGAAAGAAAGAAAGAAAGAAAGAAAGAAAGAAAGAAAGAAAGAAAGAAAGAAAGAAAAGAAAGAAATTTACATGACAATTTTGTTGTATATTTGAAAGGAATAGCAAGTTGTACATAACAGATTTGTAGTTTCAGGTGCAATCATCTTTTTTTATTGTATTATGTTATGGAAATGCTTGTTTTATTCCACAAATTTAAAACAAAATTTAATAATGATTCAAAAAAAAGGCATAAGCAATAGGGCATAGAGGAAATTGGAGAAAAAAAGAAATAACTTTGGCCAAGGATTCAGTCATTCAACAAACATTTATTAAACATCAACTATGTGACAGGTACTGTGCTAGGCACTGAGGATAGAAATATAAAAGTGAGATAGTTCTTGCCCTCAGGGAGCTTCTATTCCACTGGAATTCAGATGAGTGGGAGAGGTAGGGTTGGAGACTATATACCAGGAATAAATACAGAGGCAAGAATCACTATGATGTCTTTGGGAGATGGTGAGAAAACTTCTCATTCTCTCAAATGTAAGATGTAAGGGGCTGCACACACACACATACACACCCACAAGAGAAAGGCAGGAGCAACTTCTCCATCCCTTTCCTTTAAGAGTTGTATTTCTCCACTCCACTATTCTTTAGCCCAGAGAACACTCAGGGGTGGCTCAGGACTTGTTCTCTAAAATGAGAGCAGTTGGCCAAGCTTTGGCTGACATGGGGTGAAGGCTTGCCTCCAACACCAGGCAAACTCGTTTTGATCATTACAATCTTGTAGGACATTAGAGCTGATGGGACCCTTCAAGACCATCACCTTCACAAACACTGTTGAGCTCTAGTTGTGTACAAGGCCCTGGTAGGCACAGTGGGGTTACAAAGGTGGAGGGGCCACAGTCTCTACCATCGAGGAACTAACAATCTACTTGAAGAGGCACAATATATACCCACACAGAACTAGAAATAATAACATTGGTCTTTGTATTCCCTGCACCTAGCACAGGAATGGGAAGAGAGTAAGTGCTTAATTAATGCTTGTTGATTGATTGGAAGAAATGAGAAGTACAGACACTATGTGCTTCAGGTACAAAAAGGAGAGAGAGATCACTATGGCCTGGGGTGATCTGAGGTGGCTCCATAAAAGAGATAGGATGTGAACTGAGTCCTCTCCGAAGAGTGATGAACAGTGAGGACTCCAGATTGGCTGGAAAGCAGCATTCCCCTAAACAACCTTCTGTACCCCACCTGCCCCACCCTATTTGCTGGCCTTTCTGTTCTCTCTCATCTGTAGTCAGAATCTTACCAGGAAGACATTTACCCCATGACCCCAGGAACGGAGCCAGCTCTGACCCCTGATGAATGGCTTGGAGGCATCAATCGAGGTAAGACGCTAAAAGGATGGGTTTTTAGAAGGCCTCTGTTCTGGCCAGCTCTCTGCTGGGGATTACAGCTCCTCCTTAAACCCCAGAAATGGGGACATAAGAGCTTCCATTCCTCAGCCCTCTTTTCTAAGATCAAGGCAACTAATCATAACTGAGAGGTCTCCCATCTCCAAGCAAACTCATATTAGTCGAGTCTAGAACCAATTCTACCCATGGTTGAGTAGGCTGGCACCAATATGGTATAATTTCAGGGGCCTCATGCATCCTCCTACCCTTCCTAACCACTCTATTGCTGACCATAGCTTTGCCCAGTGTACTTCCGATAGGCTATAAAGGGCTCTAATTTAATGCAAATTAAAATTTTGTTTTGAGAAGTTCACAACCTCTTCCTTTTACCCTTGGAAGAATTGGAAATTACAGAATAAAACAATAAAATGTTAAGTGTTTAGAGGGATTTTAGAAGATCATCTAGTCCAGGGGTTCTTAACCTTGTAGAATATCATGGACTCCTTCAGCAATCTAGTGAAACCCTATCTCAGAATAATATTTTTAAATAATTGAAGAACATGCTAATTTTCAATTAGAAGTTAATGAAAAGAAAATGAATTTTTTTTCCTATTCAAGTTCTCAGGCCACCAGAAATCTTTCCATGGCATCTTTGGACCCTCAATTAAGAACCCCTGATCTAGTCTACCCCACGCCACTCATTTTACTGGGGAAGAAACTGAGGCCCCAAGAGCAGACCATATACCACATATCTTTGTATCCCTAGCACCTAACACATGCTTTGCACGTGATAGGTGCTTAATAAATATTTGTTGAATTAAATGTCATCGAATATGTGGTATTTTCCACATTGCTAGAGTCAAGAAGTGGTTACAGTATACTTTTGAGTCCTGGTTTTGTTGACAACCAAAAAGCAGGAGGGAAGGGGGCATGGTAGAAGGAGGGTAGGAAGGACAGGTAGTCAGGTAACAGTAAGTCTCCCAATTCCTGTTCCAGTGCTCTTATAACTACTTCACATCAGAGCCACAACTAGCAAGTTTTGCAACCAGAGCAAGTGACATGAGCATAGGGCCAGGGTTGGCTAGGAAGGAGTTCACCCAGAATATAGCTGCCAAGGGGAGGAAATTATGGGGTACCATGAAGCCTATGCTGAAGGACTGCAGGTTCCATCAGTGCCTTCTAAATTGTGGCACCCTGAGTCAAAGCCCCAGCTACTCCATCCTAGCTATAACTGCAGTCACACTGAACTTGCCAAATCTAAGGCACAGGTCTATGCATGTTACTCTCCTGCTCAAGAAACTTCAGTGTCTCCCTACTTTACAGGACTAGAGATTTAGAGCTAAAAGGGCACTTGGTCATCAAGTCTAACACCACCCATTGTACAGATGAGAAAACTGAGGCACATAATAACTTGTCCAAGGTCACACAACTAGTAAGTGTCTAAGGCAGGATTTGAATTAAGTTCTTCCTGACTCTAAGTCCAATCTATCCTCCATTCTACATTGTCTCTAGAATAAAATACAGACTCATTAAACTAGCATTTTAGGCCCACAACAATCTGATTCCAACCAAATTTTCCACCTTTTTTTCCTTATTATTTCCTTTCCTATACTCTACGTACTAGCCAAATTTCATTTCTCATGCCCCTCATCTCTCTCCATTTGCTAAGGCCATCCCCAATGCCTGGAATGCCGTCCCCACTGCTTCCGGGCCTCTCAAAGACCTCATCTTCCTTCAAGACTCAGGTCAGGTGTCAACCTTTTCCATGAAGCCTTCTCTGATACTTCAAAGGTACCTGTGCTCTCCTCCTCATCTTCTTGTCTTATACTGACTCTCACCCCCTAGAAGAACATAAGTTCCCTCAAAGGCAATCTCTATTTCAAAAGTACAAAGATAGTATATGATATGTTACTTCGATGAGAGCCCATGTCACTTGACTACGTGTCATGCCGACCCCCATGCCACCTTCCCTCCTGCTCATTGGTTATCAACAAAACCAGGACTCCAAAGTATACTGCAACCACTTCTTGACTTAAGCAATGTGGAAAATACTACATATTCGATGAAATTTAATTCAATAAATACTTTTTAAGCACCTATCATGTGCAAGGCACATGCTAGGTGCTAGGGATATGTGGTATATGGACCCTACCTTCAAAGAACTCATAGCCTAATAGACATATGTTACACAAATAACAATTAAATAAGGCAGAACGAGATAAATATAAAAGAGAAGGCCAGGTAAAGTGCTATGAGAAATTGGAGGAAGGAGAGATCACTGAGGTTGAAGGGAAAGGGGGGTGGTCAGAGAAGATTTCATGGAAGGTATAGTTTGTTGTCATCGTTGCTGTTCAGTCATTTCAGTCATGCTGACTCTTTGTGGTGCCATTTGGGGTTTTCTTGGCAAAGATACTGGAGGGGTTTGCCATTCCCTACTCCAGCTCATTTTACAGATGAGGAAACTGAGGCAAACAGGAGTAAATGACTTGCTCAGGGTCACACTGCTAGTAAGTGTCTGAGGCCAGATTTGAACTCAGGAAGATGAGTATTCCTGACTCCAGGCCCAGCACTCAATCCACTGAGTCACCTGGCTGCCCTGGTGGAAGATGTAAGACTTGAGTCTTAAATAAAGCAGTTTTCCCAGATTGGGATGAGGGACAAAGGATCTTTTTCAGGTGTGAAGTACAATGTGAGCAAAGGCAGGGAGATGGGAGAGGGCAGATTGAGAGTGATAGATGGAGAGTGATTGAGTGCAGGTGGAAGGTAGAGCATGTGAGGGGTGGGGGAGTGGTATGTGATAAGGTTGGAAGAGTAGATTGGAGCCAGATTGTGGAGGGCTTTGGATGCCAAATCATGAGCATGTCCTTTATTCAGGAGACGAAGGAGGTTTTTGAGTGGAACAGTAGATTAGGAAGGTTTCTCAAGCTGTGGTGTGAAAGGTGACCCAGAGAAAACAGACTGGAGATCGGAAGACTGGATAGTAGACTCTTAGAATCAGCTGGATGAAAAGAGGTGAGGGACTGACCTTGAGCAATTGTTTGGGAGCATAGAAGAGATGCAACAGATGTTGCAGAGATAGATTCTACAGAACCTAACAACTCATTAGATATGGGGAGGGGTGAGGGAGAAGAAAGAGTTGAAGAGGTATCTAGATGGTGCAGTGAAGAGAGAGTTGGACCTAGAGTCAGGAAGACCTGAGTTCAAATCCAACCTCAGACACTAGCTGTGTGACCCTGGCCAAGTCACTTAACCTCTATTTGCCTCAGTTTCCTCATCTGTAAAATGGGGATTATATTTAGCACCTCTCTTCTAGGGTTGTTATGAGGATCAAATGAGAAAATATTTATCAAGTGCTTTTCAAACCTTAAAGAGATATATGAATAGTAGCTCGCTTGGGTTATAGGCCAAAGTGATTGGGAGGATGGTGGTGCTGTCAACTACAATAGCAAAAGAGAAGTGAATGGAAGGAACAGGCTTTGGAGAGAGGATGAAGAGTTCAATTTTTCACACGTTGAATTTGAAGGGTTAGTAATATATCTCTGTAGAAGTACTCAGCAGGCAGTTGGGAATATAGAGGTGGAACTCTGGGAAAAGTTGGGGGAAGAAAGATGTGGGTGTCATCTGCACAGAAGGCATCGTTAGAACCATGTGAATGCATGAGATTGTCAAGGGAGAGAGTATGGAAAGAGGAGAAAGGGGCCAAAGGCAGAACCTTGGGCAACACGTATGCAAAGTATTACAATACAAAGGCAGTGCAGTTTTAATTTTTAGTAGCTTAACACTGCACTAAGACTTCTGGAATACCCTGAAAAACAAAAATGTGGTTGGCCAGAATCTTAGAATCCTGCAACTAGAGGAGATCTCTGGAGTCATGTAGCTTGTCCTACTTTTAAGTAGGAATACACTTAGCCAGCCAAAGGAGAAAAAGCTTCCTCCCTCAGTCACTTTATGTCAAATATGAGGACCTTGACTATCTGGCATCTCTTCCTTACAGCTCCCCTGCTCGAAAGGCATGTGTGTAGATATCTCTGACATGTCGGTAGAGAAGAGTTACTTTTTAAGCCTTGAGATCTCTGAGAAAGGAGGGGAGGGAAGTGGTGAAAGCAAGAGGCAGTGTCCTGGTATAATGGAAGGAGTCCCAGACTTGGAGATGGAAGAGCTGGGATCACATCCTGCTTCTGACTCCACACCTTCAGGGGCCTCTTGGTTTGATTTAAATGAGACCACGAAGGACAAATTCACAAGATGAAATCCTAAATTCTAGAGTTCGAAGAGACCTTATCAACCATCTAGGCCACCCCAGATCTAATAAAGGATTGCTGTTGCAACATACCCAAAAACTGGTCATCAAGACTCTGCTTGAAGATAGCCAATGAGGGCAAATCCACCACCTCCCAAACCAGTACATTTTTCTTTGGGATAACTTGAATTGTTAAGAAATTTCACCTTACATCAAGCCCAACTTTTTCTCTCAGCAACTACCACCCAATGCTTCTAGAGCTTCCTTCTGGGGCCATATCCCTCTTCCACATGTGAGATGTCCTTCAGGCATTGATTATGACCTAAAGCAGGCTTCTCTTCTCCAAGTTGAACATTTCCAGTTCTTTCAGCCGAACCTCATATAGCATAGATGCAGGGATGGACTCCATGGACAGCTCTGGTTGTCTTCTTCTGGACATTTTCCATCTTATCAATGTACTTCCTATAAATACTGTGATCCAGAACTAAACAAAATACTTTGTATGTGGTCTGATCAGCACAGCAGAGGACAGGACTATTATCTCATTATTTCTGAAAGCTCTACCTTATTTAGCGTAGGCCAGGGGTGGGGAACCTGGAGCTTAGAGGCCACATATGGCCTTCTAGGTGCTTGGGTGTGGCCTTTTGACTGAGTTCAAATTTTACAGAACAAATCTCTTTATTAAGGGGATTCATTCTGTGAAGTCAAAAGGCCATGCTTGAGGACCTAGAGGGCCACAGGTGGCCTTGAGGCCCCAGGTTCCCCACCCTTGGTGTAGGCCAAAATTACATTAGCTTTCTTGCCTTTCATATCAGACTATCAACTAATAATGAATTCACAGCCTACTAAGACCCTCAGTTCTTTTTCAGGCAAATTTCTTTCTAGCTATGCATTTACTTATGAAGTTAATATTTTGAACCCAAATGTGAAACTTTACATTTATCCTTATTAAATTTTATACCAGCTTGTCAAGATCTTTTTTAGATCCTGACTCAGTCACTTTTCTTTTAAATTGAAATCTCTCACACAGATGATGTCTTAACTGTCATGAAGCTTTTAGGATTTAGTTTTTGTTTATGGAAGGAGGAGGGTGACATTTCTTCAGCAATAGCAATAATACTTTCTATTTTCTTGGCACTTTTAATTATGTTAGGTACTTTCACATTTGTTTCACTCTTACAAAAATCCTGTGAAAAATAGGCACAGGGCAGTGAGTTACTCCAATCTTAAGTCTCAAGAAACCAGTCTTAAGGCAGCTGATTACACTATGGATAGAGCACTGGCCTAGAGTGAGGAAGACTTGAGTTCAAATCTGACTTCAGACACTTTCTAGCTGTATGACCCTGGGTAAGTCACTTCACCTCTGTTTCCCCAACTGTAAAATAGGGATCATAATAGCACCTACCTTATAGGGTTGTCATGAGGATCAAATCAAATAATATTTGTGAAAATTCTGAGCAGTGACTGGCAAATAGTAGAGACTGTATAAATGCTTATACCTTTCCCTTCTCCCTTCTCAAGAGACAGAAACACAGTCTCATACCTCTTAAATTTAACCACAGGGTTTATCAATAACATAACAAACCACCAATGATATACACATACAAAAAGGATCCAAGGGCACATGTGCTAATCAGCTCCACTGGCCATGTTATTTCTCCACTGTCTGGTCTCTGAGAATCAAAGTGTCACACGTTAATAAAAGTTCAAGGAAACTGGCTGAGTTCAGAACTACAGACTAAGTCTAAGTGGTAACAGCAGTTAGGGGCAGTTCTGCCTTATTTTCAAGGGGTCAACAGAAGCCCTTTTCAAATATACCCCTCCAAGAACATACTAATTATGAGTAAACTAAAGAAGGATCTACCCAGGTGTCCAAAAGTTTGTTGGTAGAGAGCTGCTGGAAAGGGAGATTCCACTGAGACATAAATATGGTTAAGCTCCTTCACTAAAATGGAAATGAAATTAAATCTCATTAAACATCTTATTGTTACAAGTGAATACAAGGTAGATTTCAATTAAGTTTTCACACAAAACACTTTAAACTTATTAAAAAATAAGAATGCTAAGGGAAAAAAAGGAGTTTCTAGAATTCCTTTGTTGTCAAGGGCTATCTATCCTCATGGATTCATCAGTCATTGGGGGTGTGTGTGTGTGTGTGTGTGTGTCCACTCCAGGAGGGGAAGAAGAAGCCCACTTTGGATATGCTTCATCAAGCACATATGATTATTATTTATGGATGAGGAAACTGAGAACAGAGGAAATAACAGTAACTGGTTCACACACAGCTATACCATGACAGAGCCGGGACCAGAACACTCATTTCCAAACTCATATTCCAGGGCTTATCCCACACTACCATACTAAAAACAAGTTAAAAGATGAGGGGCAAGGGACATGGAATTGTCACGACAGCTCACTAATCTGGTTGGTCCTGTCATGAGCCCAACTGACAGCCTCTTGCCTCCCCTAGATCCAGTGCTGATGTCTTTAAAAGAAGGCTATAAGAAATCTCCCAAAGTGGTGTTTAAGGCTCCAATCAAAGAAAAGAAGAGTGTTGTGGTCAATGGAATAGATTTATTAGAAAATGTCCCACCCAGGACAGAAAACGAGGTAAGGAACATAAGTTATTACATCTATGGGCCCTCAAAGAGGGAGACCTTTAAATTTCAATTATGTGTACCAGGCTTTCAAACCAGCTTCCCTCCCAGTCATCTTTCTTTCTGTGACAAACTCCATAAGCAGCCTGCTGTTAGCTTCCACTGCTCCTCTGACCCTCATAAATACCATCTGGAGAAGGGAGGGGGAAGGGGTTTTTTCCCCCATCGGAAACCTTAAATTTACTTTTGCTAAGAATTGTGTTTCCTGTCATGGATTCAGTTTCAAGCCATTATTGTTGCTTGTTGTTACTGGAGTTATAAATCACTGTCTTTACCTGCCATGATGTTTAGGTGATGATGGCAACTGACAATTCATTGTTATGTTTTTCTTGGTGGTGGGATGTGAGAAGGGCCAACACTGGATGCTTCAAAGGTGTCCTTTATGCCTGAGGCAACAGGGCTTAGTAGATAGATGGCTGGGCTTGAATTCAGGAAGGCTTGTGTTGAACCTTGCTTCAGACATTTACTAGCTGAGTGACCCTGGGTAAGTCACTTAGCCTCCTTCAGCCTCAGTTTCCTCATCTGGGTATAAAAGTAACACCTACCATTACAGGGTTGTTAAGAAAATCAAATAAGAGATAATATGTATGTAGGAAATGCTATATGCAAGTGAGCCATTATTATTATTAAAGGATTTCATAAACTTCTAATTGTCATATGAACCTAAGCCCCACTCATTTAACCACAGACATACTTTGTCGAATTCTCCTAAGGATTGCTGCATATAACCCTGTAGTTCTGTAAAGAAACCTCAAAGATATTGTTGAAAACACTTCACTTGCCCAAGAGTCATTTAACTGGTCACCTCACCTGAATGAAACTTGGACGGAAGTTTTTAAAACATTGGCTTCCCAGATCGAATGCCCTAATGCTAGCTTATGTTCCTATAACATATTAAGGTTTATAAGGGGTTTCATTATGCCTACAACTCTTCGAGGAGGATAGATGACTAGTATTATTGTTATCCAGTCGTGTCCAACTCTTCATGACCCTATATGGGGTTTTCTTGGCAAAGATATCGGAGTGGTTTGCCATAAGGCAAACAGAGGTTAAGTGACTTGCCCAGGGTCACACAGCTAGTGAATGTTTGAGGCTGATTTGAACTGAGGTTTTCCTGACTCCAGATCCAGTGCTCTATATACTGTACCACCTAGCTGCCTCCCTGAGTAGTATTATTATTCCCAATTTGAAGATGAAGGTAAGGTTTAAACAGGTTAATTGACTTGCCTAAGGTCTCATGACTCATCGGTGGTCTGTTTCCAAGCCCAATGTTTTCCACCATACTATACTATACTCCACTATTTCTGCCTTTGCCCATAGAGCAGGGTTTCAGTCTCTCCATCTCCCTTGCTTAGTGTCATTGGCTGATTTTATCCATAATTCTAGCACCCTTGGTTACCTGGTTTCTCTGCCCATCGCAAAACTTACAGAGGGTGGGAGAAGATTCTAGAGGCCAGGACACTGGGTAGGAGAGAGAAAGCTATAAAAATAAAATACCAGAACTAGAAAAGTAGAGCAGTCTGGGGCCATTTAGTGAAGGGGAAAACAGCCTCATATACTTCAGTGGCCCCAAGGGCATCCCAGTATTACGTAGTGTTGATGTCCATGATGGTGATTCTGAATCATACAGAAAAGGTTGAATCATATTTACTGTGTTGTGTCTTAAAAGGCAGAAGAATACATTATATATTTTGGAAAGATTTCCATCCCAAATGGCTAAAGTGAAAAGAATAGAGCTTTGGCTTTTAAAGGGATATGCGTCAGTCATCTGGAAAATTCACTTACATCGGGCAGTGCATTCCCTGATGATGCCAGATAAATGAGACACTGCTGTATTAAGCCAGAATGGGGCCAAGACTCATTCTTGCTCAGAAACACAGTGACCAGGCCTGCAATACCCTAATTTAATAAGATCTTCCAGCTTACAGGAGAAAATGGCCACCAGTACTTGGTGCAGTGGGAGTTGAAAAGCTGATTCACTGAGACTCTAGGGTGGTGAGAGGGGTGTGTGTGTGTATATGCAGAACTCTGGGGGAAGGTAAGATCTGAAGGCCTCAGGGTTGGGGGTGGTGAAGCCTTAGGAACGAGAGCGCTATCCCAGGCACTCACTTTTCTCTTTAATTCTCTTTCCACCCCATCTGTTTGTCCCTCCCTTTCAGCTCCTCCGAATGTTCTTCCGACAGCAGGACGAGATTCGACGATTGAAAGAGGAACTCTCCCAGAAAGACATCCGAATTCGGCAGCTGCAGCTGGAACTCAAAAACTTACGGAACAACCCCAAGAACAATTAGCTCCCCAAAGGCTCATTTTCTAAATAAACTCTCTGTTTATATTTGCTCTTTAATTTTCCTCCCATTCACTCTTTCCCCTTCCCATCCTCCACCGCAACCCCACCCCCACCCCCGGAACAAGCCAGTGCTTGAACAGCCTGCCAATAGGCTGGGCTCACCGATAACTGGAATTATGTGCTTTGGCCCCTTTATCTCACACTAAGGGAAAAAAAAAAAAGGAGGCAGCAGATGACCCTGTCGGACTGACCTGTACTGCTGTAACTGAAAACTACTGTCCTGGAGAGGGCTGACTCTGGATTTGTACCCGTACGGTTTTCTTGGAGGAATTAGCGGGTGGCATCTCTTCTGATGGGTCACAAGATTAGAGGACTCACCAAGAGGGGCTGTTTAAAGCTGGCCGGAAGACGACACGGAGAAGCTGGGGGAGCCATAAAATGAAACAGCCAGGTTGATTGCAGTTAACTTTTCCCATTCAGAGGGCGGCAGCGCGGAATACACAGCTCTCAATAGCTGAAGCTCAAAGCCACTTGCTTGTAGATGCCATGAAATCAGGGCTTAATTCGCTGATATTCATTGAAATACTCTCTTTTCTCCTCTTCTTCCACCTCCCTCCTGTCTTCTTTCAAAGCAACCCCTGTAAACCTCAGTTCTTAACTTGGAAGAGCCAGGTTTCCTTTTATTTCTTTCCCACCAAAAAACAACCTCTGTGTCTTTAAAACCAAACCAAACACCTAGTGAAATAATAACCATCCCTTGTATTTGCATAGCTTTATACTTTTTAAAGCACTTAAACATATTTGATTTCATTTGACCTTCACAACACTCCTGTGTGGTAGAGAGGGCAGTATTATTCCCATTTTACAAATGGGAAAACCAAGGCACGAAGTGAAGTGACTCACCGAAAGCTACTCAGATAGTGGCAGAGCATGGACTTGAAGTCGGGTCTCCTCATGCAGGGTTCTTCTCATGACATTATAATGCCATTTTCAGTGGGGCTTATGTCATGTCCAAGTCAATCTGGGAAATTTTAATATGAGGGAAATCCTTCTACACCCTCAACACAAATTGTGCCAATTGTATTATAAAGACCTGGACTGAGCCTTTTCAAGCACTGAGACACTTGTCCCCTTCCCTGGGTTAACTCTGATCTTCTCCTCTCTAGGACTCAGGTTGAGATGCTGCCTTCTTCCTCTGGGAAGCATGAGACTAAGATGGCCAGAGCTTGGGCCCCTAGGGAAGGCAGAACAAGGCTTCTTTTCTTTCTTGCCACTTTCTGCCTTTCTCTGGCCCCCTCTTTCCTTACGCCCCATTTCTCCCTTCTCCCTCTCTGTCTCTTCCTCTCTCCCCGCTTTCTGTCCCCTTCTTTTTCCACCCTTCCCTCTTTCACTCCCTCCCCCTTCTCTCTCTCCCTCTCTCTCTCTCTCTCTCTCTCTCTCTCTCTCTCTTTCTCTCTTCCTCCCCCTTCTCTGCCTCTCTCTCCTTCTCTCCTCCCTCTCTCCCCACTCTCACCCAGATATACTACCCAAGTGCTATTCCACTCTGGTTCTTCTGCACACATCTCTTTTTCCCTGTGGGCACAACTACAGATATCTGGGCCAAACACATCTGTTTATGTTTGTGAAGACTAGATGGCAAGGCCAAGCAAGCTATAAAGCCCAACAGCTGGGTTATCGCTGTTAACTTTTCCAGTGCTATGTGCCACAGCCAAGTAGCTACACAAACCCACCCCATGTGAGCTGGGCCCATATCAGCCATTGGCTACTGTGGGTTTCTACCACATTCCCTTGCTTTCTCCCACATTCCCTTGCTTTCTCCCACTACCATATAGGTCCTTTTACATGACTGTCTAGCACTAGCTGGATGAAAGTACTTCTCTGTCCACTCACACCTTTTGCTTTCTTTCTCCCATCTCCTTACTTGAACTGTGTTGTCTCCTGTGATTATTTATGCCGCCACACGAGGATAATATTGAAATAAAATGTTTTCAAGATGCCAAAAATGGACTTGGTAGTCTCCTTTAGCCTCTGGTTGTTTTAATTGTTTCTGTAATGGCGGTATTTTGGCTAGTGGCCCTATAGCCATATCCACTGCCTTTCCCAGGGAACAATACACATCTATTCATTCTGTACCCTAACTTCATTCATTCTTTCTTTAGCTTTTCATTCTTTCATTTATTCATTCTTGTATTCATTCATCCAAAAAATGTTCATTCATTGTTACTATCTGGCCAGCCCTGAATTAGGCACTGTGATAGCCAAAAGTAGAATAAAGCATAGTCCCTGCACTCAGTGAGCTTGCAGTCTCTCTAGTTAAGGAGGCAAGGCTAATACATGAATAGATAAATATAAGGCCATATAAAATTAAATGTCAAATTTGAACTGTGGTGGTCAGGAATAACTTGATGGAGGAAATAGGACTTGCACTGGCCCTTGAAGAATGGATTTGAATTGGTACAGAAGAGAAAAGTGAGCATCCAGGGAAGAAGCAGAGCTTATAAGGACTTAGGGAAGGGTCCATAGTGATCTCGTCCAACCTCATTTCTCAGATGTGGACCAGAGAACTGAATCAGATTGTATAGGTTCACACACCAAAGTGATCCCATGGGACTCTTGGTAAGCATGTTCTTTGGAGTCCAAGAAAGATATTCTTAGAGGAATCAATGCTTTGGGATCCGTTATGGAATTCCTTAAGCCTAGAAGACACCTAGAGAGATGATCATACCAACAAATCCTCACCCCACAATAAGGGTCAGAGTCAACAAGCATATTTTAAGTGCCTACTATGTACCAGGACTGTGCTAAGTGCTGGGGATACAAAGAAAGGCAAAAAATAGTTCCTGCCCTCAAGGATCTCATGGTCAAATGGGGGGTGGGGTTTTTTGAGGACTTAAAAGAATCTCCTAGGTCTTAGAGTTGGGCAGACATTTAACTACCTCATAGCCCTTAACAAGTGAGTTAATAGGCCTAGAAGGGTTAATAACCCTAGAAAGGTTGACTCTATGATAGTGAGTGGAAGAGCCAAGTATGAACTCAAGTCCTCTGACCCTGAATCCAGTGTTCTTCCCACCATGTCACTGGAGTGTTGATCCCCTGGGTTCAATCCTGTCCAGCTCTCTGTGATGCCCCAAGTCCTTGTTCATAATTACATGCCTACTATACAGAATCCTTGGGGCCATAGCTTCAAAGCCCATGAAGAAAGTGGTTTATGGCTAAGGCTCCCAGGCCTGACTGAAAACAAAAGCTCAAATTATGCCAAGCACTGGGCAGGATTAACCAGAGAATTAGAGCCTGGGAAGTGGGGGGGGGGGGGCATGGACACCAGTGGAAGCCAGGGGACTAGCTCTGAGATGATCTAGATTGGGAACAGGCTGATCATAAGGCTGAACTCCTTAGATATAAGTATCAAAAAGTCAAAGGTGAGATTAAAAGAGAATTCTTAAAACTTTTGGTAATAGAGGTATCTTGGGGGTGTAGTGGGATAGAGTGCTGGACCCGGATTCAGGAAGGCCCTAGTTCAAATCCTACCTCAGATACTTACTATCGTTGTGACCCTGAGAGAGTTGTTATGAGGATCAAATGAGATCACAAATGTAAAGTGCTTTGCAATCCTTGAAACATTATATAAAAGCTACTAGCTATAAGAAAGTGTCACATAATCCTGGTTTTGAGAACCTTCTCTAGAGATTTTTAAGAGATGGTCGCAGAGATGGTTTATGTGTCAGCCTGCCTGAGGCACAAGAGATCGGATAAGATGAACAAGATGACCACCTTCTGCCCCTCTCAATGCCCTTAATTTCTTTGCTTATAACCAAGCAAAAAAAATACTCAGTCAATCAACCAAGGAAATGGAGATACAAAGAGGAAAGTGATTTAGTCCCAGCCCTCAAGGAGTTACATTCTATCAAGGAAGGCAACATATGCTTATAGAAATATATACAAAATAGATACAAGATGAATTGGAGAAGAGAAGGTATTAGCTACTAGGAGGAGTCAATCAAGGCTGGGTCTTGAAAGAAATAACAGATTCTAATAGGTACAGGTGTAGGGCAGCTAGGTGGCGCCATAGTGCACAAAGCACTAGTGCTGGAGTCACATCTTCCTGAGTTCAAATCTGACTTCAGATATTTACTAGCTGTGTGACTCTTGGCAAATCACTTCACCCTGTTTGCCTCAGTTTTTTCATCTGTAAAATGAGTTGGAGAAGGAAATGGCAAGCCACTCCAGTATCTTTGCCAAGAAAACTCTTCATGGGTTCATGAAAAGTCAGACACAATTCAACAACAACAACAAAGAAGTAGAGGTGAAGGGGGGTGGTGGTGAATACATTTCATTGGAAGTAGCCTAGGCTGGTAATGGAATGCCAGATTAACTGGATTGTAGCATGGGGATGGGGAATAACATGGAATAAAGCTGTAGAGAGTGTAGGTTGAGGTCAAATTGTAAAGGGCTTTACATGACAAACAGAAGAGTTGATACATGCTCCTGAAGGTGGAAGGGAACCTTTATAATTTATTGAGTAGGGGACTGACATGGTCAGACCCGTGCTTTAAGAAAATCCCCTTGGCAGCTGTGTGGAGGTTGGATTGGAGTGAGATGAGATACCTCTGTCTCATTGCTTCCATCTGAAATGCCCTCTGCACTCTTCCTTATCCATCAATTCCTAAAGACCCAGCTGGATACATATCTTCCTCCATGGAACCTTCTCTGACCATTCTAGCCTATATTTGTCTGCTCATCCTGACCAGCCAGGTCACTTACTGCCCTGCCTATTCAGCACTTAGGACAGACAATCTTATACTTACTGGTGCATGTCCCATCTCTCCCCAGTTGTGCTTCAGACTTCTTTATTCCTCCCACTGTGCAAAAGAACATAGATTTGGAGCTACAGATACCTCAGAGGTCATCTAGTACAACCTCTTCATTTCACAGATAGAGAAACTGAAGCCGAGACAGGAAGTAACTTGTCCAAAGTCACACAGTAAGTAGCAGAGCTGAGATTTGAACTCAGGACTTCTAATTCCAAATCCAGCGCAGCATTCTTTCCAGCAAAGACC